AATAGATCGCTGCAGTGAACACGACTTTATGTATTAGTTTATGGTTTATTTTATATGGAGGGATGCAGTATACATAGAAGTTCAGAGAAGAAGCAACCCCTATATATTGTTTATTTCATTTCATTGACCTTTAACTAAAAGTCATAATGTAGTATGTAAATAGAGATGAGAGAAATGTCATATATATATATATAGTGTACAATGTTGAAAATACCAGGAAAAAAACATAGTATTTAAAAAAGAAATCTAAATTCAATCATCTTCTGTAATTACTTCTATTTAAATGACACGTACTTTATTATTCTTTGATGTCATATTTAATGTTGGCATTTCAGAGTCTTGCTGATTAAATGTTGATGATGTTATTGTTTGCAGTGGTAAAATACATGTATTACGATCAACGTCCAGATATATAACTGCTCATGTTGTACTTGTATGGTGTCAAATGGGTGAAAAATCATTGTTACACTAATAAATGTTTTTTAAATCAAATGTTCAGAAACTGCACAGTCGTCCTGAGTTTTGCGTTTGTTTTTAAGTAAACATTGAATAATTAATAAAGTTTATGAAGCTGTTGATTCTACAGTAAAGTCTCCATTATATAAGACCCCCCCCCCCCTCTCTCTCATCTGTGATGATTCGCCTACATATGTTCTTGTGTTAAACCCTTTGTAATCGTTTTTAACCCATTAACTAATAGTATATTAATATAATTAATAGTATAGTATGTAAAAAGAGCTGAGAAAACATTACACATTACAGTACGACAAAAAAAGTCAAAGTATAGTATGATGAAAAAATTAATCTAAAAGACAATCCTTCAAAATAAAGTATTATCGTATATTGTTCAAAAATGACAAAATACCTGGTTCTGTCAGTAACTCCTAGATTGGTGTTTGCTGTGGAAGATGATTGACTTTTAGATTGATTTTTTCGACATTATACACTATGACACACACTATATAGACAAAAGTATTGGGACACTCCTCTTAATCAATGAACTCAGGTGTTTAATCAATGAACTCAGGTGTTTCATTCAGTCCCATTGCCACAGCTGTATACAATCAAGCACCTTGCCATGCAGTCTGCTTTTACAAACATTTGTGATAGAATGGGTCGTTCTAAAGACATCGCTGAATTCCAACGTGGTTCTGTAATAGGAGGCCACCATTGCAACAAGTCAGTTTGTGAAATGTCTTCTCTCCTAGATATTCCACTGTTGGGAAAATTCTGAATGTCCTCTTCCAACATCAGAGTAGCATGATAACAAAGGTATCCCAACTGTATCTGTGTACATGACAGGATGTATGATTACCTAGAAGAGCATCAGGACTGTTTTAGGCATATGATAGCTATGTGATTAACATGATGATTCAGCCTCTATGGAGATAGACATATGACCAGCATGATCATTTCTGACGTGGAGCTAATCTGAAGTAAACATTGAATACTGCTTTATATTCCTCCATCTTGTGACTGTGTAACTCCCTCTCTTGGATATCAGCATGTGAAGGACCTCTGATGGACCAGGCTGGGTTTGGGGAATGCAGGAGAACGTTACCTGCCTGACTGCATCGTGCCAGCTGTAACGTTTGGTGGAGGAGGGGTAATGCTATGGTGGTTTTTCTGGGGTTGGCCTCGGCCCCTTAGCTCCAGTGAAGAGGATTCTTAAAGCTTCATCTTACCAAGTCGTTTTGGACAATTCTATGCTTCCAACTTTGTGGAAACAGTCTGGGGAGGAAGAACCTTTCTGTTCCAGCATGACGTAGCCCCACAAAGCAGCTCCATCAAGGCCTGGGTGGATGAGTTTGGTGTGGAAGAACTTGACCTCAACCCCACTGAACACCTTTGGGATGAACTAGAACGGAGAGCCAGCCTCTCGTCCAACATCAGTGTCTGACCTCACCAGTGGCGACTCGTCATTAGGGACACAGCCCCACCTAGTGTCAGCAGAAAGTAATTAAAATAATAATTCCAAAAATATGCAAAGAATATACATCTTAAAATATATTTTAAGATCATGTTTAGTCATCTGATTCGTCTGTACATTGCTATTTTGCTAATTAGTGTCTACAGTGTACCTATTGAGCTGTGTAGAGCGATGTGGGACAAGCCTCGATCTAGCCCCTCTCTCGCTGTAGAAATGAATGAATGTAAAAACTACACTGTGCCTGCTCAGAGTATTTTTGTATTTAATGTGTGCGGCCAAAAAATAATCACAAGTGGGGCAAAGTGCTGGCAACCCCACCAAAATGTCATCTCATAATTCAGAGCTGATTGGCTGTAAGTACGTGTGCTGCGAAAAGTGTAGTTGTGAAGAGGAGACGAGAGAGAGCAGCGTAGAGCGATTACAATCAGTCAAACGGAAAGAAAATGAATGAAGTTGACCGTCTACTTCAGCTTTGGTAAGTTCATTTTATGTCATATATTTTGTTGATCTTCTGTGTTTTGCCTTTAGGCTATTGCTCTGCTGGATCCATTGATATTGTGACCTCGGTGATACTTATATTTACAGTCTGGTGTTTAATGCTGAAGCATTACGGTTGTTGTTATTGTTAAGTATTGCTTTGTGATGGTGCCCTTTACTGCATGTATTAAGGTGCATTGCAATATGACATCCCCACGCTGTGCACGTAAATGTATGCGCTGACAGTGTTGCTCCGTGTTCTTCATTCATGGCTTCCGACATTATGTAATTCCCCCCCGCCGTTCGTACCCCACCCCTTTTGTTCATATAAAACCGCCACTGGCCTCACTAATGCTCTTCTGGATGAGCAACAATTCCCACAGACACACTCCAAGATCTGTAGAAAGCCTTCCCAGAAGAGTGGAAGCTGTTATAGCTGCAAAGGGGGACCAAGTTCAAATGAATGCCCAAGAGTTTGGAATGGGATGTCCTGAAAGCTCCTGGAGGTGTAATCAGAATCAGAATCAGAATCAGAATCAGAATCCCTTTATTAGTCCCACAGAGGATACATGTACATTGTTACAGCAGAAAGAGCCAGAGACAGCTTCATGTTACCTAAAGCATGCATACAACAAAGTATTAAAGATTTTAAAAAGAAATTATAATAGGCGTTATAATCTGTGTTGTTGTGTGGGGGGTCTACTAGGGGTCGTGGTGGTTATATAGTCTGACCGCTGCAGGAAGGAAGGACCTGCGGTATCTCTCTCATGTGTAGGTGGTCCAATACTTTTGTCTATATTGTGTATAATTGAGTATCATCCACATAACAATGAAAATGTCCCGAGTGATTCCTTATTGCCTAAAGGAAGCGTATATAATGTGAACACAATAGGTCCAAGCTCTGAGCCCTTATGCTTTGCTGCGGCAGAACTGGCTGGATCAAATCAAACAGAACTCTAAACACATTTTCAGCTCTGCACACAATCTGCAATTCAACTCTGCACTTTCTAAAACACTGCACACGGTTCTCTGAGTAACACACAGAGATCTGACATATTCACCTGTCAGCCATTTTCAACACACTGCCATTAAACATGCTACACATATGAGCCAATGAACAGATACACATGCCAGCTGACCGTTAACGCCTGGCTGCTTTACTGCTGACTCATCAATCAGGATATAAGTACAAGAAGTGGGATATTTATTTTTAAAATGTGTTTTTTTATCACAGAGCTGAGAAAATAATATTTATTATAAAAAAATCAAATATCCTGTTTATGAAATACACAAGAAAAAAAAAAAAGATTTAAGAACAAATTAACATTAAATATAAGCAAAACAAATATTATGCTATTTGGAAAACATAAAACAAATCCTCAGGTGCAATTAATACTAGATAACATAAACATAGAAAGAGTATATGAAATGAAGTTCCTTGGTGTGGTTTGAGAGCACAAGATCAGCTGGAAACCTCATATCAATCATGTAAAAGCAAAACTGGCTAAGACTATCTCAATATTGGGGAAAGCAAGACACATTCTGGACTACAACTCATTATGCTCTGTATAATACACTCATATTGCCATGTCTGAGTTACTGTGTGGAGATTTGGGGAAACACTTACAAAACCAACCTACAGCCGTTATGCACATTACAAAAAAGGGCTATAAGAATAATCAATAATGTTGGATATCTTGAACACACTCATTCATTATTCTTGAAGTCACACACACTGAAGTTCACTGATCTGGTTACATTTAAAACGGCACAAATCATGTACAGAGCAAGACATAATCTACTTCCTAGGAAATTACAAACATTGTTCATAGACAGAGAGGGCGGGTATAATTTGAGAGGAAATCTACATTTGAAACAACTCAAGGTCAGAACAACTGTGAGAAGTATGAGTAGAACAATCTGTGGGGTGATTTGATGGAACGGTTTGGAGCAGGAGTTCAAACAAAGCACAAATATAATTCACTTTAAAAGGATGTACAGAAACACTTTCTTGGAAAACTATGAGAATGATTTAAGGTGATTGAAGATGAGAGATTATTGTAAATGTATGTATAAATGTAAATATGTAAGTAGGAATAACTTGCAGAAATGATTTAAAGGATAATCATTGATCAGCGGTAAGTAAGGGGTGGGAATTAATAAGCATTTGCTTCCTCCCGCTCCCTTTCGGACACATATGATTTATTATTATTATTATTATGAATATTGATGAATACTGTATTCTAACAATACGGTATTCTGTTTTTCACATTTGTTATTTTTTATTTGTTTTTTTAATCTGTTCGAAATAAAGATGGAAATGAAATGAAGTCGTTAATTCATGAGAAAAGCACTCGGATAGAAAGTCAGAAACATTTGAAATATTTGTTTAAAATAAATGTAAATAAAATGTCCAAAGAAAGTATTCAGAGTAATTCTTATTACAGTTTTATAATTGTTTTATATATTTCTCAAATGATCTGTTTTGACTGCAGCTTGAGAAACTTCTGGATTCAGTCTGAAAGCATCCTTTTTTAACTTTAAACATGATCTTTAATAATGTTGTAGTTTAGTTTAACTATGAGAGGTGGACTGGCTGGACTCCTCACTGGGACTCTGGTTCTGGAGCAGCTTGCAGGGTCCAGGAGTTCTTGGAGAGAAGGAGCGCTTCCTGCCGCAGGACTCGGGGGATGGGAGTTCCTGAACATGGAGAAACAGCTTCAGTTATTATGCTCCAAATATCTGGAACAAAGTCACAGAAAGAATGTGTCTGCAGCTCAGAGAGTCCTGCTGGGAACCCACACATGTTGAGGAGCCCAAAGTGTGATGAGAGAAATGTACAGTACGGGTCCCCAGCACATAGAAGCTGCCGGATGCTAACCTGCATATGTTGGGAGAGCTTTACAGATCAGGAGAGGAACTAATGGCGCATTTCCATTGCAGCGCGTAGCTCGCTTTAAGCGTGCCGTGTCGTGCCGTCCCCTTTTTTGGTTGTGCTTCCACTAGGCCTCGTTCCGGCGCGGCACGGCGCGGGGCCACTTTTTCCCCTCTTTTCTGGCCCTAGAAAATTGTGGTTCTATCGGGGCCAACAAACAGGGCTGAGTCGGGCTGAGTATGCTAAACTAGAGAGAGGAGCGCTGGCAAGAGGGCTAGAACTACAACAAGATGGACATATTTGACCGTGATTTAATTGTAATACACGTTTCAAAATGATGCCGAAGTAACAACATACTGATACCGGTTAGTAAAAACCATGAATTAATGCTTTGTCAAGTCTGCAGACAGACGGCAGGCGAAAAACCTTTTAAAATTCGTGTTTTTCTAGATGGAGATTGGCTAAGCTAACGCAGTATATGTCCCCGACCGTCCACACTCACAACAACGGCCTATACAGACATAAATTAAGCAGCGACTGTATTCACCATGACACAGGCAGTCTGTGGTGTGTACTTGTTTAACTTTTGTCGAGTTTCTGAACATATATAAGGAGCTGTGAGCTCTGAGTGCTCACAGCTAACGGCTGTGTTGTGTTTCTGGATTTCTCATTGAAGATGACGTCACGGCTCCGCCTACACTGCGTTACTACCCAGTTCCTAAACTGTAATGGAAGCGCAGCATGAAGTGAGTCGGCCCTGTTAAGGCCCAACGCGGCCAAGCCGTACCGAGCCGTACCGAGTGTGGCCGAGGCCGACCGTGTAGTGGAAATGCGCCATAAGTACATTTACTCAAGCACTGTACTTTTACATTACATGTCACTTGTTAGACGCTTTTATCCAAAGTGACTTACATACTCAATATCAGAGATGGAGTACTCGAGTCCTGGACTCGGACTCGAGTTGGACTCGAGTGCCGATTTTCGGGACTCGTGACTCGACTCAGACTCGCGCACTGATTGACGCGACTCGGACTTGGACTCATGAATTCTCGCGCACGATGACTTGGACTCGGACTCGTGAATTATCGCGTACGCTGACTTGGATGCTGACTTGGACTTGGACTCGAACTCGGACTCGTGAATTTTTCCCCCCACGATGACTCGGCCTCGACTTGTACATTGACGCTCCGACTTGGACTCGGACTCGGACTCGAGCAAGTTTTCTATGGAGTCTGATGTCCTCTATCCTGGCGTGTGCACCGGCTGCGAGGCGAGTTCACGTACTGGGCCCCGCTATTCCAGTCTAAAGATGTCTAGAGACACACCCCGCATCGTGCTGTATGCTTTCACACATTCTGCTTCCACATTGGAAAAGAGCAGCGCAAAATGCTCTATGTGGAAACAATATTGAAGAGAAGGCTCCGTAACACATTACTCTAAACATCGAGTTCAGACATATAGGCTGTCTTGAACACTATCATCAGAGTAACGTGATCTAATCAATAAATAAAGATTCAGCCGATAACACGAAAGCACACGGCTACTTAACATGCAGAATGACGTCATTTTGCATGCTAAGTAGCCATGTGCTTTCTGGGGCTAAATCTTTATCAGTAAACCGATTTAACCGGTAAAAGTTCCTTCAAAATAAGAGTCCCGATCTTATTAATATCAAAATAAAAGTGCAAAACGAAAACTTTACCATAGGAAAATATTGGCATACAAATATAATCACTTCTCTAAAAGGTAACTCATTTTAAATATAGTTTATTTATATATAATAATAATAATATTAATATTAGTAATTGTTAAGGAATAATTCTTCTAGATATCTAACCTTTTGCTCTGTGATGTTTTATGATCTACTCTGACGTCTGTTATCTCCTTTAAGGAAAGGCATTGGTGCCATATGTGTTGTTGTCACCAGTTTGTGACCGGTCAACTTGTCTGGCACGAATGGTAATTGTTGTGAGAACGCTGAGGCACTTCTTTATCGGTGTTTGTGGACTCTAAGATGTGAAATCTTTGAGGCCATGAGTGTCGGACGCAGGTGGCTCAGTGTTCCCAGCTGTTTAGTCTACTCCTTCAGAGATGTTGATTCTCTGTGAACCTGTTAAAAGGTCTAGCATAGAGAGAGGCTCTTCAGAATTGACGTGGCAACTCTACCGTGAAGTCGGAACCTCTGACTCTTTGATTTGTGATGTGAATCCTCCGGCCGAATACTATGAATAAACCCATCAGTGTTTGACATCAAAGCTCCAACTCTCACCGTGTCTCCTTCCTGAGTCGGTGACTCCATGCATTACTACACAGAAGTTTCCTCCACAGTAATAAGCTTTATATTTGTATAGCACCTATTACAAGAATTGTAGCCAAACTGGCTTCACAGCAGTTCAATAGACAGATTAGTATAACATGACAGGATAAAAGTAATGTAGAGGAGCAGCTACATTTCAACACATATATCCACGAAGATTAATACATGAAGACTTGTGACTCGGACTTGACTTGGACTCTTCTTAGGTGACTCGGAGTCGAACACAGGTAATGATGACTCGGACTCGGGCTCGACTCGGACACTCCTTGGGTGACTCGGACTCGAACACAGGTAATGATGACTCGGACTCGGACTCGACTCGGACACTCCTTGGGTGACTCGGACTTGGACTCGGACTCGAAGAGTGGTGACTCGAGAGTGACTTGGACTCGTGAATTGGTGACTTGACTACAACACTGCTCAATACTGTGGTCAATCCCCGCAGGAGCAATTTGGGGTGAAGTGTCTCAGGGACACAACGACATGCTGACTGCAGTGGGGTTTGAACCTGTGCTCCCTTGATCCGAACACCAACGCTCTATCCACTGCGCCACACGCCTCCACACTTAAGTACAATGTTGAGGTACTTGTACCTTTCCTGAGTATTTCCATTTTATGCTACTTTGTACTTCTACTCCACTACAGTTCACAGGTACATGGTGTACTTTTACTCCACTACATGTATTTAATACCTGATATGATCAATAATTATAAAACTTATCTTAAACTTATATTATTCTGAAATGGACCAATCTGCACAATGACTACTTTTGGTACTTTAACTATATTTTGATGCTAATACTTTTCTACTTGTATTGAGTAACATTTGAATGCAGGACTTTTACTGTAACAGAGTATTCCTACACTCTTGTACTTCTACTTTTACTCAAGTATAAGATCTAAGTACTTCTAATTTTACTCAAGTACAAGATCTGAGTACTTCTACTTTTACTCAAGTATATTTTGATGGTAATACTGTAACAGACTGGTTCTAATGTTGATGTTTTCATGTGTTTTATTCTTCAGAGTTTATTTACATTTTACAGAGTGTCAGTGAACGCGTCACTGTTTTGATAGACAGTTGTTGTGAAGAGAAACAGCCAAAATGATGAAGAGAGAAAAACAAGAGTGTTGTTTTCCTCTGAGGACATGCTCCATGAAAGAGTTTCATATCTTGATGAATGGAGGATATTCAGTACTCACAGTTCTTCTGGATCTTGGCTCTGATCGTCTCATAATCTCTGATCCTGTAGGGATGAACACAATCCAACAGTTATGGATCCAGTTTAAAATAAGTGTTTGTTCTTTGAGTCAGCTTCAGAGTCCTGACTGATCTCATGCTTTACATCCCATCATATCTTCTCTGCAAACACTACGACTGACTGCCACAGCTCTCAGCTACATTACAGGAAGTAACAGTCATTAGTCAAGGAGCTAAAAACATCCCATCAAAAACAGACTACCTTTTCCACTCTTCTGTCAAATCCCATATGTCTGGTGGAAAGTTGATTACTTACTAAATGTGGCTTTGCATTTTCAGCTGGCCTTCTATAGTTGATGGAAGAATGACAGAGCCTGCAGTCAGTGGGTAACATCACTGATCTGTTGTGATTCCCCAGTGAGAGAAACACCTCCCTGTGTTTCATACAATACTGCTGAACCAGCAGAGACCCCTTACTGACCTGAGGGTCTCCAGTCTGCAGTCTGGACTCTCCAGAAGATCTCTCAGCAGCTCCTCTGAATCCTGCAGATCGTTGTGACTCAGGTCCAGATCTCTCAGATGGATGTTGGACTTCAGAGCTGAGACCAGAGCAGAACAGCTGATCTCTGACAACATGCAGCTCTCCAGTCTGAATAAAGAAAACATGATGAGGATACAAATCTGTTTATAATCCAATCAGATGTTACTCAACATTTAAATGAATCTGAACAGACAAATCTGTCCACTTCAAAAATGTAACTTTATCATGTAAAACTAAAATGACTTCAGATGACCTTTATTCAGACTTTATCGTTTACTAAATATTAAATACATAGATTTACTTTTCACAACTAACATCTATTACAGTTCCTTCAAGAAACAGTCAACATGTATGTCTGCAGTTCTTACTTCTTAATCTTTAAAATGAAATATGAATATAAGGACATTTACAACTTTATGGATGTAAGTTATTAATGAATATAAATGAGGTTAAATTCCAAAGTGAACATGTGAGATCTCCAGCAGTAACAGAGAGTCAGTGAACTGACCTGAGAGTCTCCAGTCTGCAGTCTGGCCTCTCCAGAAGATCTCTCAGCAGCTCCACTCCTGAATCCTGCAGATGGTAGTTGTGACTCAGGTCCAGATCTCTCAGATGGGAGGGGTTGGACTTCAGAGCTGAGATCAGAGCAGAACAGCTGATCTCTGACAAACTGCAGCCCTCCAGTCTGAATAAAGAAAACATGATGTAACTTTAGAAAACAATTTTCCTGTTTGAAATAACTTCAGGTTTAATAATCTGTTCAGAGTGAAACAGGGTTTTAATGTCAGAGATGATGCAGAAACAATCCACTGATAATCTGGAACTTTAACTTTGATCAGATGTTGAACAACTCCTTCATCTCCCTCACAGCTCATCAGTACTGACAGCATCTCCACTGACTCATGGAGCACAGAGTGAGTCTGTGGAAGCTCAAACACTCTCCCTCACACATTCACCTTCTCTCTGTTACTCTGATCAATATTCAGTCATTAGCAAACATGGAACAAATAAAAATAACATTGTATTTGTTCAAATTCAGAAAATCATAAACACAAACAGATCAATATGAACTGCAGTCAGTGAACTGACCTGAGAGCCTCCAGTCTGCAGTTTGGACTCTTTAGTCCAGAACTCAGCAGCTCCACATCTGAATCCATCAGAGTGTTCTGACTCAGGTCCAGATCTCTCAGATGGGAGGGCTCAGACTTCAGAGCTGAGGCCACGACTTCACATCCAGGAATGGAGAGAACACAGCCACTAAATCTATAATAAAACATATATTACAACATGTGTTAAAAAAGAGGAAACATTATATTAACATCAAGCATTTGATGAAAAAAGATTTGACATGTTCTGATAGACATTTGCTTTTAGTCCATTTAATATAATATATAATAATATATGATAATAGAGTGTAATGAGTTGTCAGTGTGATCTGATCACATGTCTGTGCTCCTGCTGTCACTGACTGTTACCAAAAGAAACAGAAATTAAATGAATCACTTGACAATATTAGAGATGTACATATTTAAATGTTAGTTAATATGTGGATGTGAATGATGGATGAAGGATGTTTTGGCTTCTCTGAGCATCTGAACATTTATTGCGCACACAAACACAATTAACAAACCAATAAAGTTTCAATATGTTCAACTTGATACCATCAGATGTTCCCAGTATATCAGCATTAAGACATAACTCTGTTATTGGTGGGAAATGATATAGATCTGATTTTAAACTCTAACACATTGTGATAAAAACGTGTTTAATGATAAAGAAACTACTAGAAAGTAATAATAACATGTTTCTGTGATAACTGTAAGTCCTGCTGTGTGGTGTGATCACATGCTGAGAAACCTCTAAAGTCCTTCATGTGTTTGACATGTCGCCTCCATCACTCAATATGAAGAGAGGAACAGTTCAGTTTAACTATTATTATAAATAAATAGAAGATCAGTGTTGGTTTTATTTTCTCAGTATTTAAACAGCAGAAATGTTATAGTGTTTATTTGAATAATTAAACTCCTGATCCACATTAGTTTATAAAGTTAATCACATCTGGACTTACTTGAACTTCCTGCAGTTCCTCACAGCTGGAATCAGTCTCTCTCGTCCCTCCTCTGATGTGTTGTACTGATCCAGGTTCAACTCATCCAGAACCTCCTCTGACATCTGCAGCATGTAGGCCAGAGCAGAGCAGTGGATCACAGAGAGTTCCTTCTCTGATCTGTTCTCTGACTTCAGGAACTCTGTGATCTCCTGATGTACTGAGTGGTCCTTCATCTCTGTCAGACAGTGGAAGATGTTGATGCTCCTGTCAGGAGAGATTTCATCACTACTCATCTCCTTCAGGTTGCTGATGGCTCTCTGGATGGTTTCTGGTCTGTTGTCTGTGCGACCCAGCAGGCCTCCTAACAGTCTCTGGTTGGACTCCAGAGAGAGGCCGTGGAGAAAGCGGACAAACAGGTCCAGGTGGCCATTTTCACTTTGGAGGGATTTCTCCATGGCTCTCTGCAGGAAGACAGGCAGGGATGGGTAATCATCATCACTGCTGTTGTTAAAGTCTCTCAGCAGGAAGTCCTTCAGGGATTGGTCATCATCATCATCATCATCACTGCTATCACTGTCTTGTTCCCGGTCTCTCCTCAGGAAATCCTTCAGTACCTCTGTGTCTCTGTTGGTGTAACAGTGCAACATGTAGACTGCAGCCAGAAACTCCTGAATGCTCAGATGAACAAAGCAGTAGACTGTTTTCTTGAAGATCACTCTCTCTCTTTTGAAGATCTCTGTACAAACTCCTGAGTGCACCAAGGCCTCGGTGACATCAAGACCACAGCGCTGCAGGTCTTCTTGGTAGAACATGATGTCTCCTTTCTCCAGATGTTCAAACGCCAGCCTCCCCAGCTTCAGAAGAACCTCCCTGTCAGCCTCCGTCAGCTGCTGTGGACTCGTCTCATGTCCCTCTTCATACTTCTGCTTCTTCCTCTTGGTCTGGACCAGCAGGAAGTGTGAGTACATGTCAGTGAGGGTCTGGGGCAGCTCTCCTCTCTGGTCTGTAGTCAACATGTGGTCCAGAACTGCAGCAGTGATCCAGCAGAAGACTGGGATCAGACACATGATGTGGAGGCTCCTGGAGCTCTTGATGTGAGAGATGATTCTGCTGGACAGGTCTTCATCACTCCATCTCCTCCTGAAGTACTCCTCCTTCTGGGCGTCAGTGAAGCCTCGTACTTCTGTTACCCTGTCCACACACTCAGGAGGGATCTGATTGGCCGCTGCAGGTCTGGAAGTTATCCAGACGAGAGCCGAGGGAAGCAGCTTCCCCCTGATGAGGTTTGTCAGCAGCACGTTGACTGAGGACTGCTGTGAGACATCAGACACAACCTCATTGTTTCTGAAGTCCAGAGAAAGTCTGCTTTCATCCAGGCCGTCAAAGATGAGCAGCACTTTGCAGACAGCCAGCTGCTCTGCTGTGACCTTCTGTAAGGTTGGATGGAAAACATGGAGCAGCCTGAGAAGACCGTACTGGTCACCTTTGATCAGGTTCAGCTCCCTGAAGGAGAGCGGGATCACCAGACTGACATCTTGGTTTCCCAAACCCTCGGCCCAGTCCAGAGTGAACTTCTGCACTGAGAAGGTTTTTCCAACTCCAGCGACTCCGTTGGTCAGGACCGCTCTGATGAGAGTCTGTTGGTCAGGTAAGGCTTTAAAGATGTCCTGGCACTTGATTGGAGTGTCATGGAGGGGCTTCTTCTTGGAAGCTGTCTCCAGCTGCGTCACCTCATGTTGGGTATTAACCTCTTCACTCTGGCCTTGTGTGATGTAGAGCTCAGTGAAGATCCTGTTGAGGAGGGTTTCACTTTGATCAGTTCCTTCAGTCACACGTTCACATCTCCTCCTCAGACTGAGCCTATGTTCATCTAAAACCTCCTGCAGACCACTATCTGCTGGAAGAGAAGGAAACATGAGAGAATGAGGAAAATGCTCTGAGAATCTAATTATAACAATAAAACAACAAAAAACAGACTGAGTTTAAATGTTTTATAAACAGCTTACTGTCTATGCTCTACAACAGTATACCTGTTCAGAAACAAATGAACCAGGAAGAGGAATAAGACGCTGCATGTGTTCGGCCTCTTACCTCGTACAGAGCTGGTCTGACTGGCTGTCAGCAGGCCAGCTCTGGTTCTGGATCTTTTCCCACACTGGGGACAGGAGGGGTCTCCTGGTGGAGGTCTCTGCTCCCAGTATGAGGTGATGCACTGTCTGCAGAACCAGTGTCCACAGCTGGTAGAGACTGGATCCTTCAGGACGTCCTGACACAGAGCACAGCTGGACAGCTGCTCCTCCACAGGAACACCACTCTTCCTCTTCCCTCTGTGGAGATGAACACATCCTTTACAGCACGTCACATTAGTGGAGCTGATTCTCACCAATGGGCAGAGCGTCACAAACGTCACTCTCAAGATGAAATGTGTCACGCTGCACGAATACGCAGGTGACATGAATTTCACCTCTTCACTTTCTTGGTGTCTCCAGGTACGGATCTGGGTCTTTGCATTGACTCTACATGTAATCACCAGAGGTGGGGACTCGAGTCACATGACTTGACTCGAGTCAGACTCGAGTCGCATATTTTTTGACTTGAGACTTGCTTGACTAACATTGATAAAAGACTTGACTTTGACTTGGTATTCATGACTTGAGACTTGACTTAAGCTTGAGACAGATGACTTGAAAGGACTTGTCTGTTTAAAATTAAATATTTGCATTTGTTTTTGTATTGAGATATTACGTTTAGTTTTTTCGAAAAACGTGATTGGGTGATTATAGCGCCATGCGCGCAAACCTGGCAACCCACTAGACGGCAGGAGAGTCAGTTAACATGGCAGCGGCTAGCGTTACTCCAAAAATAGTGAAGTTTGGATTCAAGGATTATGTTGTCGATGACGCTAATAAGAAGAGAACAGCGGTATGCAGGGTCTGC